CTTTAGGTATCGCCGTCGTCACCGGAGGCAAAGTAGCCTTGACAGAAGCAGAAATTGGTCCATGTACTGGTACAGGTTTATCATCTATTTCCATTGCATCCTCAACCACACCTTTCCGGGCGGCACCTTCACCACGACGAATTCTCTCTCCTCCGAGTTCCTTAAGAATCCAATCTAATCCTCGCTCGCGAATCTCGCGTTCAATACTTTGTCGTTTGGCGTTGTCTGTTCCAGCTTTTGCAAGTTTCGTACACCATAAAATTAATTCTCTATTTCTTGTCAATATCTTGACCAAGTCGAATTTGTCATAATCAAAAAGATTCATTAATTCATTTTCGCAGTCACGAGTATTTCTGTCTGATTCAAGTATTTGCATGGTATTCGCCGTCTTTTCTTGTGCAGTGTGTGGATCCGGATAGTAATTTGATATTAGACGCTGAAGCCAGAAGGCATCAATATCATGCGGAGATATCTTCTGTATAGCTTGTGCACCAGTGACCTTCTTTGATTTTGCTGTGTCTGGACCAGTAACAGTTCGGAACCCTTCGTTTTCCTCATCTGAATGAAATTCTCTATCTTCTTCATCCTCAACTTGACCAACACCTAATACACCTGTTGTCATTGCTTCCACACCGCCTTCATCGTCATCTTCCTCCTCGGACTCAACTTCATATTTTCCAAATTCATCTTCTTCCTCTTCCTCTTCATCAAATACTACAGCAACTCCAAGTTCATCGTCAATCTCGCCTGAAATTTCACCGTCTTTATCTAAATTCATGGCATCCCCAGGGTGATAATCTGTTATTTTTTTCCCCAAATTCACTAGTTGAGCAAATCTGTCTGATGCAATGGTACCAATAACCGTTTCAATATCTTTTTTCTTGTCAAAATCCTTGAGTAAATCATTTTTTAAAATTTGCAGAATGTCGTCTGCTGCACTTCTAATTACATCTTGAGCTTGATCACCGAGGTTTTGATGAACAAATGCTAAGATCAATTCGTATGTCTCTCGTGTCTCTTTTGTCCGTGGTCTGTAAGATAATCCATCAAAATATTCGGTAGCTGCCAATACATTAGAGTATCCATAGGCTTTTTTTAACGCACTAAAGAAATAGTTGTATTTAATAAAAATATCAGGAAAACAACTCGAAAGAAAAAAAAGGGTAATACTAGACGAACCTCTCCTCTTTTCTTCGCCTCTTTTTCTCCTCTGCTTCTGCAGCTTCCTGAGCTTTTTTCTTTTTTGCTTGTAGATCCTTTACGGTATCCCTTTGTGCTCTGGTACCAAAATCTTTCGGATTGATTTTCCCCCATAACGATTCTGGCTCACCAGAAGGCTCATGATCTCGACGAGGTAATTCTGATCGATTTGCTTGTAGGACAAGATTAGAGTTAGCAGTGTATTGGTATTGGTTACCTCTTGCAACTTGTTCTGCCATATTTTATTTATTTGAAAAGGAAGTTGGGGTTCGAGATCGTTATTCGGATACAAGTGAAAAATAATATTTACATGAGTATATATATATATATGGTACACAGATATGATATGCTGATTGGTAACATTGTCACATCCTACGTAATCGTCCTCAGATTTATGAAATAATATTTCCATATTTCACATAAGGCTCGCTGTGTTTTTTTTCAAAGATGGCTGGTCGAGGTCTCCCCATGATTGTATGTGTTTCCAATTGAAATTCTCTCGTCTAAACCGAGAGCATTTAGTTCAGGTTCGCGTTATTAGAGCGCGATTAGGTCATCTTTATACTTGACATCGTGACTTTTGTGCTCGTTAAATAAAGAACTTGATGTATATTTGAAAATCCAACTTTAACGTTGAAGTAATAATAAATAATTTTATATATTTCATGTTTTCAGCAACCCCAAATAATCTTGCTCAAAGAAGGAACAGATGCATCCCAAGGTCGCGGTCAACTTTTATCGAATATAAACGCTTGCCTAGCAGTAGTTGACACAGTGAGGACAACTCTGGGACCCAGAGGCATGGACAAATTGATCGTTGATGAAAAAGGTATTTTTAATAGAATACTACTAATATAATAAATTTATGCAAATGAATGCCTTCCATTAATGTGATATTGCTCCAGGCGAAGTGACTATTTCAAATGATGGCGCTACAATCATGAAACTCCTTGACATTGTGCATCCCGCAGCCAAAACTCTCGTCGACATTGCTCGATCGCAAGACGCTGAAGTAGGTTCATTACATAAATACCTTGGAACTTAGATCACGTTATCATACGCGTATATTCGATTAATATCTAATATAATAGGTTGGTGATGGAACAACAAGTGTGGTCCTGCTTGCAGGCGAATTTCTAAAAGAAGTCAAGGGATATATTGAAGAGGGAGTCAGCCCTCACGTAATAATTAAGGGTTATCGGAAAGCTGCTCAATTGGTAAAAAAAAAATTCGCGAATATTTTGCTAACTTTTTTATCAGTGAAAATACTAATGATTTGATAATTCAAATTAAAAGGCCATTAACAAGGTTAAGGAAATTGCCGTCAAAATTGAACGTGATAATGAGGCGTAAGTTCTTATAAAACAACTATAGTATATACAATTTCGATTGCTAGAACAAAAATTTTTTTCATTAGGGAATTCCGAAACTTACTCTTGAAATGTGCTGGAACGGCCATGTCCTCAAAATTAATTCATTCGCATAAAGATTTTTTCACAGAAATGGTCGTTGATGCAGTACTGACTCTAGATCAGGAAGAGTTGAATGAAAAGCTAATTGGGATAAAGAGAGTTCCTGGAGGTGCCATGCAAGTGAGCTTCATAATAATTATCTTATTGAATATGACAGGATGATTTCATTACTGATTTTTATGATATGCATATATAAATTTAAAGGACTCGATTATTGTCAATGGTGTCGCATTCAAAAAAACCTTTTCTTACGCTGGATTTGAACAACAGCCTAAATCTTTCACCAACCCAAAAATTTTATTGTTAAACGTTGAACTAGAATTAAAAGCAGAAAAAGATAATGCGGAAGTTCGCGTCGAAGATGTTAATGTATGTAGAGGCATATTCTTATATAAAAAGTTTTTAACCTTTTTATGTAAATATTAATTAATACAAAAAAAAATTAGGAATATCAAGCTATTGTCGACGCTGAATGGTCTATTATATTTTCAAAACTGGAAAACATCGTTAAGACCGGAGCAAAAGTGGTATTATCCAAGTTGCCTATTGGTGATTTGGCCACTCAATATTTCGCTGATAGAGATATTTTCTGCGCTGGTCGAGTGCCTGCTGAAGATCTTAATCGTGTGGTGAAAGCGGTTGGCGGGTCTATTCAGTCCACATGCTCTGATATTGATGAGAAACATCTGGGTACATGTGAACGTTTTGAAGAAAGACAAATTGGAAATGAAAGGTTCAATCTATTCCAAGGTTGTCCGGCGGCAAAAACATGCACAATCATTTTGAGAGGAGGTGCCGAGCAGTTCATTGCTGAGGTCGAACGAAGCTTACATGATGCCATAATGATAGTCAAGAGAGCTATTAAAAATAATTTGATAGTTGCCGGTGGTGGCGCGACGGAGGTTCGCTTTTAATTTTTAATTTTTTTTTTTTGTGTATTAGAAAAGCTGTTATATAGAGTAAGCTGAAAAACTGTTCGTTTCAAATTAAAATTTATAGATGGAGTTATCTAAATATCTTCGTGACCACTCTCGAACAATTGTGGGGAAACAGCAATTGATTATCGGCGCATATGCACGTGCATTTGAAATTATTCCTCGTCAACTGTGTGACAATGCTGGCTTTGATGCGACAGACATTTTGAATAACCTAAGGATGAAACATGCCCATGGTATTTATTCACAAGAATTTGCACCATCTTAAACTAAATAATAACAATTAATATTACATTTTAGGTGCCACTTGGTACGGTGTTGATATTAATAGTGAATCTGTTGCCGATAACTTCGAAGCATTTGTCTGGGAACCAGTGATTGTGAAGATAAATTCAATATCTGCTGCCACTGAAGCCGCGTGTTTGATATTAAGTGTCGATGAAACTGTGAAAAATCCGCAATCTGAAAAGCCACAATCAGGCCCACAAATGCCAAGGGGAGGAGCACAAAGAGCATTTAGAGGTCGAGGTCGCGGTATCCCTCGCCGATAAAAGGTACAAGTTTCAGTAGTTAAGTCATGTTAAAAGTGATTGGATTAACTCGTACTTATTTGAAAAAATTTGTTAATTATTATGTACCCTCAGTTAATACGGCGCTGTGGTCTTTCAAAGAATTTAGATTATGATCCGCAAGGATTTTATGTCACAAACTTCATTATAGCGTGGTAATAAAGCGAATAATATAATGCAATTCATAAAGGTACAATTCTGTATACTCTAGATTACCACTTAGGTTGATGTGTACTTTAAAGAGGAGAATCTTGTTTCTTTGAAAAAGAAAAAATTTTAATTGAAAATTAATTTTAAATAAGGGGTGAAAAAAAATATTTGATTTTTGAGCCATTAAAATGATCACATGTTTAATTTTTTTTAAAAAATCCACTTGGATTGTATTTAATAATAACATACATCTATTGATAATCTAAAAAACTGCTGCTTTATATATTTTCTAAAAAGAAAGTTTATACACTTATTATAAAGTTGAATTAATTCAGATAAAATTATATTTTTAATTTTACCAAGACTTTATTTACAATAGTAAAGTGATTTTTACAAATATTAATATTGTAAAATATATTATCAATGCAATAATAGTTTGATATGATAGTTCATTAGCTAAATTCAAAATTTCTTTATCAAGTTTGAGAAAGTGGCATTAGGAAAGAACGTCATCCTGTGTGTTACACCGATTTACGTACATGCCAAAGAAATATTTTTTAGTAAGACACACATTACATCCAAAGGCGCCTCTGAACCGAAGGGTCCAGTTTTGAAAAAGTTTCCAAAGAGGCTCATCAGTTTACTGCCGATAAAGAAAGACTGAATATTTCAGGATGGATACAGCAGTTATAAAACAGGATAATAGTAAGAAAGATCAGGATCTACAAAGGGAAGAAGATCAATTATCCTATGAACAATCAAAAGAACAGATCGATCTGCAGCTCAGTGAAGAAGAAATAAGCACGCATATTGAGGAAAACAATGGGATTATTCCTGTTAGTCAAAGTAATGGTGTGACTACCATTATGCCTAAAGGATCAACCCCGGTAAAGTTAAATCGTAATAATTATAAAGCCAGCTTGGAAATTATAACTACTGGAGCTACACCATCCAAACCGAATGCCCTTTTGCAGAATAACAATAATGAGGTTAGAGGAACAGCACCAACAGATGCTCTACCACAAGCCCCGTTGAACATTAATAATGAAAGTGGTCTAGGCACAGGCAGCAGATATGGGGTCTCTATTAGCAAGACGCGTATCTTTGTTGGCGACCTTTCTTGGAAACTTACAGAAAAACAGTTAAAAACCGAATTTGATCAATTCGGAACTGTAAATGAGGTTCTCGTAGTTAAGGACAGAAACTCTGGTGGGTTAAGATTGATACAATGCTTCAAAAATTACTTTATTGTTTACTTATGTAGCATTTCTAATTGTTTGTAGGCTTAAGTAAAGGCTACGGCTTTGTATCTTTCGAGGAAAAACATGCTGCCTCAGACGCGATTAAAGCCATGAATGGTCAGAATATTGAAGGTCGACCAATTCGTGTCGAGGCAGCAGAAGAACGCCCATCGGAAGACCGATATGAGAAACAACAAACTCAAGAGTACAGAAGGCCAAATGAATACAGAAAAGATGTTGATTATGACCGAAGAATTTATTATGATCGTAATAGAAGAGAACGTGATAATTATTACCGAAATGAAATTGGCTATAAACGAGAAAATGATCACAAAATGGAAATGAGAGCCAGGGACATCGGTGAACGAAGAGAATTTGAACCTCGTCGTGAGATTGAATATCGAAAAGATTTTGAACGTAGAAAGGGTTTTGAACACGATAGGAGAGAAAGGGGTTTTGAACGACGAATAGAAGAGGGTGACAACAAAAGAGAAAGAAGAAAGCAATCATTCGAGCCTAATGAACCCATTATGTTTTCTCCAAAGGGACAATTGAACAGAAATTATATGAGAATGAAAGATCAGAGTTATGGACCACAGGAACGTGAATATGAGCGTTCATGCGATCAAAGTGTGGATACCGTTCAAAATGATAAAGATGACAAGAATGATAGTCAAAATCGAGGACAAATATACGAAATCGATCTTTCAGATAAAAATGATGATTCGTTGTATAACCGAGGCGTCAAATATGTAGAAAATGAAAAGGATAGAAACAGCAGTAGTCGTAAAAGAACACGATCCAATAGTATTAATGCAGATGATGCATATTATTCACGATCCTCCGACATGATGCATGTGGACTCTTCGTCGCCACCACCACCGCCACCACCACCACCGGCGGCCATATCTTCGCCCAATCGCGCAATTATTTCCGGACATAATTCTTCGCACCACAGACCGCGAACACCATCACCTCATTTCGAATCTGATCCTTCGCAGTCACCTTGGCATCCTTCACCAAGAATTCCTAAAAAAGATTACTATATTGAAGGACAATCACCAAATTTTCTACGTAAGCGCGATCGAGGACGTGAGAGAGAGAAGGACAGAGGATTTGATCGTGAGAACCCCCGATTTTTGGATAGAGAGAGACAACGTCTTTTTGATAAAGGACGTGAAAGGGACATGAAAATCATGGAGAGAGAAAGGGAATTACGTGAAAGGAATCGACAGCTAGTACGGCCACGGGACCAGCCAAGGTATTATGATCCTGAAAGGGACCCACATCGCTTTCGAGCCCCAAATCATGAATATGGTAGAGATGCAGTTCGCATTCGCCCACCACCTTATGGTCATAATCGAGAACCAGAATTTAGAGAGAAAGAACGAGATCTTCTTCGTTATAAAGATACCAACCGTGATTCATACTATCACCGTCAATCACCACCACATAATCATTTATCATACAGAGATAATAATAATACCAAGCGTTTTGACGATTATTATTATCAGCCTGTAGTGTATCCTACTGTTCGCAGGTCTCTCTCACCGCGTGCACGTTATCCAGCTAGACGTTCATCTTCCCCTGTTGTTAGACCTCCACATATTCCTTCATACGACCGCCGAGATCGTATTCCACGGTATGATAATATTAGAAATTATGAATACGATACTCGACGTGAAAATTATTATGCTCATCATTACAATGAGGCGAATCACAATGGATATGTTGATCATTATGCCCCACCCATACATTCAAGTGCTTCTAACGCGAAACAATTTGAAGAAAATTTTGGCGTTGGTGGAAGTACGACAAACGAAGCATACCAGCGTAACCGTCTAAAATCGAGACAATGGGAAATGAACATGGAAAAAGAAAAAGGAATAAAAAGGACTCAGAATAATTCTGGGGGTATCCCTACCGGGGGTTATGAACGTGGCCGCCCACGTGAGAGACGTGACAGACATTGGGAAATTGCTGATGAAAAAACCGATAGAAATCACAATTTGGACAGAAACATTGCTGATTCCGTTAGTAATCACGAAAGGTCTCGTGATCATGAACGCAATGAAAGCCGACGAAGTTGGGATGCGAACGAAGAGAAATCTGGGAACGCTAAAGACGAACATAAGGATTGTGCTGATGTAAAATCAACATATGAACGTCAAGATACTCGTGAAAAAAATGACAAATACTGGGATATAGACGAGGATGAAGGTAGAGACTACGATTGCAACCCCATTAAGAATCGGAATCGCGAGAAGGATAACAAAGAACGAGGTGAATTCGATCATATACTGAATAGTGATTCTCCTATTTCTTCACTTGAATTCTTCCCACCTTTGACTGTTCCTACGGATACTTTTAATCTTCAGTCATCACAATCAATAAGTAATGGTCATCAGAAGAATAATCATACGCAACATGCGCATTTTTAGAAATACTTGGAACTCATGGACAAGAAAGCCAGGTTTCAGCAGTGATGTAAATATTTCTTCCAGGCATATTTTATGCAAGATGATCTAACAGGAAATTTTGGTTTGTTTTAATTATAGTTTTTGATTTTCTGTGATTTATTTTATTTTACTTGGAAAAAATAAATAAAAGATAAAGCTGTATCAATTGTTATTCCCATTTCCCTTACTGCCAAATTTATTTTTATAAATATTTGATTTTTAGGAAATTTTTAGTTTGTAAAACTCATTTATCAAAACTTATTCTTTATTTTTTTTGAGCTTGGTGACATTCATGTTCACAACTTTTACTTCAAAAACTACATCCTGATTTTATTTATTCTTTGTAATTAAAAATAATTTGGTTTTCAATAAATTCAAAAGTAAATTATGTTTTATATATTATTTGGAGGGAACATTACGTTGGGGATAGACCTCTTGTTGACATTTTTGCCACGAATTTGTCTCTTCCAAGATTCACATAAATCATTTGACTGAATACGCAAATATTCTAAAAAGGAATGCAACTACATATAAACTGATATACAGTATAATCTTTTGTTTTTTTTCATAGGCTTCGCATAAAAGATGCTAATGAAAATATAACATCAAAAATGCAAAAGAAGAACAAGCCTTAGGCTTCAAAATGATTTTATTTGCATATTATTGAGCTTTAGAATAAAACTTGCACTCTATAAACTAACTTGCTTAATCTTACGGGCTCCTATTTTTTTTAAATAGGTTATAGATCTTTACAGCTTTTTTGCTTTATTTCGTAAAGTTGTTGAAACCTGGAGATGTTTATATATCATCATCAATTCCTTGATAGTTTTTATCCTCACCAAATGTCATTCACCATAATAGTGCCAACACCATCTACCATTTATTGTGCGTTATTCCGCACGAATGTTTTGAAATTGCTGAATAAATCTTGGATCAATCCTGTAACATACATCGTTTGCATGAAGATAAAGGCCTTGAACATCATTAAAATTTTATAATAATCTTATTCAGATAAATCAACCGTTGATTCTACCGGTCCATTCTCTTGTTCACTGTCTTAATTGTAATTACCCCATTATCCATTTCTGGATCCACAATTGAGAGTTCTAGTTAAACAATGCAATATTAATATTTACATCTATTATTTTGCTATTTATTTTACTGATTGTTATTTTTAATAATAGTAATTATATTATATTACCAGATTATTTATGACAACGAATGTTGAATTATTATATTACAAAATAAGGTAGAAATAAGTCCCGTTTTTATATGTTTGAGCATGATAATGTCAACAACAAAGTTATCGTGAAACACAAGAGATCAGAAAACATAAATTTTTTCAAGAATAAATTAAAAGAAAAGATCCATTATGCAAGGGTTAGCTCAGAGAAACAGAAAGAATCTTGACAGGTAGTGCAATTACTGTACCTCAGGCGAAAATATTTCAGATCACAAATTCATTAGAAACATTGGATCAGGTCTTATAAAATATTTAAAAAATATATTAAAAGCTAAACTAATCTTTTAAAGAAATTAAAAAAATTTAATAAGAATTCAAAAAATTCATTTATTTGTTTTAAAAAAAAAAAAATCTTGAAATTAATTATTAATAAATAAAACAATAATTTTAGAAAATTATAGCCTGAAAAAAATTATTAATATTTTTTTTAATTAAAAGTTTTTAAAAATAAATTTTCAAGAATTTTTTTTTTAAAGGTTAAGTATAAACCATATGTGGTTTTTATTAATCAATAAGGATTACATATTTCTATTATATAAATAGTCTATCTAAGTATTAATTGTATAGTTTTAAAAATTGAAATCAAATAAAATCATATAGAATTATATAAAATTTAGAATACTATTAAAAATGATAGTAAAATATCACCTATTAAATTTAATATAAATTTGAGAATTGAATACAGAATCAAAGAGAATCATTAGGATCTTTAAATTCTATTTAATTGCCTTTATCTGGAATTGAACTAATATCTTGTAATTTGAACTTAAGAATACTAATTACTGTGCTATAAACCTATAGATCCTTTTTTAATTAATATTAATTATATTATATTCAAATATATTATTTAATATTTTCAAATATTTAAGACCAATAATATTACTTGTAATTTATATTTTATTAAAAATTTTGTTTACTTTCAAATATATATTAGTAAAATAATTATATAATAAATATAATATAGGTTTCAATTTATGGAACTCTTTCTGCTGATTCCTTTGCCAACCCAAAAAAAAACAGACGTTCTCAAAAATAATCTTTATTTTTGATAATAAAGTCTATATACTCTCCTTAAAAACATTACTTCCTGAAGGCAGGTGCCTCCCCTACTTGTTTACTTTTCCTTTTTCGAAAAACTTTGGATATTTCTATGACAAAATAAACAAAACTTTACCCATTTGGTCTACGGCAAGAACACCTTACTGGGAAGAAGAAACCTGTAAAAAAACATCCTCCACTATTCTTCCTCAGGTCAGAAACTTTAGAGAAGTGAACCACTAGTGAATGCATTTCCCAAGATCCATAAGAACCTTGGATCCACTGTAAGCGAACACCTTTTGCTGGGGCGGGTGGATAAGCTAGTTGGGCCTATTAGTGAATACATTCCCAATTG